AAGAAAATGGCTACTTTTGTTTTCTAAAAAAAGAAAATAGGCACAATAACAAATTCAGGACATGAGGATTTAAGATTTTTGAATATGGTACATTGCACTCCATATGGATTACAACAAAAAATAAATACATTTGAAGTATTTATAAAAGCATTAAGTTCACATTCACACATTTTAAGTGTATGTGAAGTTTTAATATAGAGACAGTGAGTGTAGAAATGGCCAAAACTGAAATATTGAAATTACTGAAAATTCCCACTCACAAAATTAGAAGTAATCACAAATAGGAAAAGTAAAGCTGATAATTCTTGCGTCGTGTGAAAGCAGCATTGTGTGTGTATGGGATACACATTTATCTAACCTGATAAGATGTGAGCCCACAGGGTCCTAGCACCTACAGTTTACTTCCTCATTCACTTTGGCCTAAATGTTCAACAGGTGGAAGCACAAACAATTCTTATATGGATGTTTTACATGGCTGAATAAAAAATGGAGAGAAGAGGAATGAAATTAAAATAAAATATTGTGTTATTGGATGCTGCAGCAGACGAAAGGATGCTCTTTTTAAAACACCAATGATGATGCTGTAGGAAATTATTTTTACAGAAAATCTGATCATCTTATTAAAAACATCAAACTCAAATGTTTCTAACTCAAAGGAGTCGTCAACAGTAGAAGAAAATCAATAATTAGATGGTCAAGTCAGCTGATTATGATGTATGGATTCAGAATGCATTATTCAAATATCAAAGCTCTTCATTAAATATTTGTTTCATACTGTCATGAAATATAAAAGTATTCACCAAACGGAGGTTTAACTGCAACTCAGCTGTTAAAGGGATGCAGTACGTTTAGACATAAATAACTCATGACAACAGAAAAAAAAAAAGATTAATGAAAAAAATATGCAACATGATCCAAAGATAAATCTCTAAAGACCCCTTTACTGGAAATAGGTTGCTAAGAAACAGCATCATTTCCTGTCACTGCTTGATATTAGCAAACACTGTAACAGGAAATAACTGTGGGCATTTTGTAAAGCACACTGATGAGGAAACCAGGCATGTTTTGACTGAAGGAATTATCTCCCATGATTTTTTCATACAAAGGCAAACAACCCCAATCATGATTCTGTTCATCAGTGACTGACTGACCCACTCAGCAGTTACTGTACACTTCCTCCACACCTGGAAAGGGCTCAGGCTCCCTTAACTGCACATGTTTTTAGAAAAATAACATTGATTTCCAGCATCAGTTCTTCTATGCTAAAAGAAAAACAAAAAGCCATGATGGTTCAATAAAAATATAATAAGTTTATTTGTCAGTCCAACAAATATAAAAGCATAATAGGGGGAGGTTGTTTGTCCATTATTGTAACATAAAGAAAAGCAAAAGTTGGATACAATTTATTGTATTCTGCACAAAATTACACATTTGTCTCTGATAACTTTCCCGTCTGTGCGATATGAGTACAGAACAGACGTATGTAACACTGATAGAATTAAAACGTAGAAAAGCTAAATGGTAATTAGCCAGGCTGCAGAAATGACTGTGCCCTCCTCAAATCTGCTTTATGATGCTCTCTCTCTCTCTCTCTCACTGAGAGGGACCTATATGCGATGGGGGCTAATAGGCACACACAGCTCCCTCTTGGCTAGTCCCATTAGCCGTAATGTTACCTTAATGTCTATCGTTCAGCTCTTCAGCCTGGGAAGGAGCAGCATTTTTGAGCAACTTGGTCATTATTATCTGGGTCTAAAGACCTTGTCCCCTTTTTTCTTCTCCTTTCTTTAATAGCATCACAATTTATGTGCTGGACCTGCCATAACAAGGAAATTCACACCAACGTTAGCTAGTAGTTATTTCTTAGGTCATGTGGTCGCCCTTGGTGCACTTTGGATGTTTTGACGTTGCGTACAAAAACATTACTCACCCCATTTTCAGGAGAAGAGTTTTTTTCTATAAAACAGGCTACATTCTAGTAAAATGTTTATTTCTGTTTTAATAACTAATAGTGAGTTTTGGTTCAAAATCTGATTTGGTCATCAGTGTCATTGCTGGCCTCCAGGAGCAAATCTAGCAGTTGGGCCCCAGAAAGCTTTGCCCTTTCCTCCTTATGAGCAGCCCTGCCACACAAGTAGCAACACAACTGCACAGAAAGCCTGATATGTCTTACACACACACACACACACACATACAGTAGTTTATTTTACACATACACCATCCTGCTGCCTCAAATACTCACAAGAGCACCAAATGTGTGTAAATCCGCAGTCTAAAATAGTCCCCAGCAAAAGCACAATTTCATTCTGTTTAAGTAACTTTTTGAGTTATTGTGTATTAGGTGTATTATTCACTATTTTGTCTGTGAGACAAGAACTGTTGTGTGTGTCTAGGTCTGTTTCTATATCCTATGTCCTATGTCTGATCGATTGTTTTCTTCCACAAATGTCTAACCCTTTTCACTTTAAACCTTACCTACT